GCTCTGCTCCTGCCTGGCGCTGCTCCGGCAGGGCGGCGGCCAGCCCTACCTGCGGCTGCGGCCCTCCCCCAGCGACAATCTGCCCGTCAAGGACATCATCGAGCACCCCGACCCCGACTACGACCCCAAGGAGCAGGACCTGGACGAGCGGACTCTGAGGAAGAAGCTGGGCAGCCACTTCGACCCTGGCTTCATGGCGGTGGTGGCCCCGGCTCAGCTGAACCTCTCCAGCCCCGACCCCCTGCACAGGTTCAAGGTGTCGGGGCCGCTGCCTGGTGAGCTGAAGAAGCTGGACCTGGGCGAGGCGCCCTACGGGGCTCGCATCAAGATGGGCAAGAAAGCCCGGAGGAAGTTCCTGCAGTGGCTATGGGCCTACACATACTGCCCCGTGGTCTACGCCTGGAAGGACTTGGGCCTCCGCTTCTGGCCCCGCTACATCAAGGAGGGGCACTGCTTCACGGAGAAGTCCTGCTCCTTCCCGGAGGGCATGTACTGCAAGCCTGTCAAGTCGGTCACCAAGACCTTCCTGAGGTGGCACTGCCAGGGCTGGTCCACACAGAAGTACTGCACCTGGATCCCTGTGCAGTACCCGGTCATCTCAGAGTGCAAGTGCTCCTGCTGACCCCTACGGGGGGGCTGCCCCAGCAGCTGGGCACGGGGACGAGCCCTGGGGTCCAGTGCTGTGGCTTGGGCATCTCGGAGTGCCAGAGCTGTTACGCAGCCTCTCCTGGGCCCCAGCTCAGCACCTGGGGATGGATCTCAGAGTGCCAGCACGTGTGTGTGACCTCTCCTGGGCACCAGCTACAGCTGCGGGTTATCCCCACTGCCCTGGAGTCCAGATCCACGGCTCGGCTTGGGCATCTCAGAGTGTCAGTGCTCCCACATGACCTCACCTGGATCCCAGTTGAGCACCTGGGGATGGATCTGAGTGCCACTCTTCCTGGTTAACTTCACCTGGATCCAACGGTAGCCACCGGCTGCCTCCAGTGCCTGGAGCCCGGTCCCCACACTTGGTGATCTCAGAGTGCCAGTGCTTTCTCTTGTCATCCTCCCTTGGAGGCATCATCTAGCCCAGTATGTGGTGGTGTCTTAGTATGTGACATGTCCTCTTTCCACCCCAAACTCCTCCACACTGAGACCCTAAGACTGGAAAGACACAAAAAAGATTGACACACACACAACACGCCCAGAGAATCTGTTCGTTGGTTCGTTTCTCTCCTCTTATGCCCCTTGCACTGTTTTGTTTTTGTTTTGTTTTATTTGACTTATTTTATTTTATTTTATTTGAAACGGGAAAAGCAAAACTGAAAGGAACTGCAGTGCAGGCCAGAGGCAAAGCTAAGCACTACAATCAGATGTTTATTTTTATACATATATAGTGTTCTAACAAAAAAAATTACCAGCCTTGTAAATATAGAGATTTTAAAAAGGAAGGGGGGAAATTGCAGCTGTTTTTTATTATTATTATTATTATAATTATTATAATAATTATTATTATTATTTTAAAGACATAGGACCACATTTTAAACCCAACCCTGTAGAATCTGAGTACTTCCCTGCAAAAGGGAAGGGGAAATTTTCCTGTAAAAAAAGATTTAAGAAAAACAAAAAGGAAAAAAGCAACACAGAATCCCTTTAAGATGTTAATTTCTATTTGCTGTATTTTTTGTCTTCAGATCTTGTCACTGACATTTGAACTAATTTGCAAAGTGCTCTAGGTTTTTTTAAAAGTGTATAATGATTAATTAAGAAGATTTTTTTTAAGTACAAAGCTATGAAAGAGTGGAGTCTTTTGTTGTTTGGGAATACATATAGTAATGTAGAGCTGTTAAAAGACATTTTCTGTGTACAGTTTATTTATTTTTAATGTTTGTGTATAGGAAAAAAGCTAGAGATTATGCCAGAAAATATTGGAAATGTTTACTTGAATATTCCTTTAAAAACATATCAATGTAAATATGAACTATGACTGATCAAAACATTTTTAGCAATAAACACTATCTTTGAAGAAACAATTCTTGATGCACTACAGATCTCTGGGTGAAGAGCTGATGTTTGGATGCTTGCTGCGAGAAGGGGACAGGTGAAGTCTTTGGGCCAGATCCTCAACTGATGTAAATCCACAGAGCTGTAGAGTTGCACCATTTTACACCAAACTAGCTCCACCAAAATCATTAGAGCTGCACTGGCTTACACCATCGGAGCATCAGGCTGACTATGTGTACTTAAATTCTGAACCTGTTGGGGAGAAAGAGGAAAGCCCAGAGGTGTAAATGGCTCACAGAGGATAGAATAATTTAAATGTTTTGGGAAGGGAGCAATCTTCTCATACCTTCAGGAGTTTGTGTTCCTTCTGCACTGTGCTCTGTCATGTTCCCTCTCTCTCTCTCTATCGCTTGGACTCCAAGTTTCATATTTCTCTGATTGGTGGAGGAAAGGGGAGAGGTTATCGCCTGCGCCATTAAAATGCCTGACAAAATTCAAAAGCTCATGTGTTAGAACAAATGTTTTAGCTGTCGGTCATCATTAGTGGGGAGGGGAGGGATGGGGGGTAGCTCTATGCCAGGTCTGTGGAGGTGCAGCCCCAGTGACATGGTCCCCTGTGGTACGTGTGAGTTTTTGCTGGGGTCAGGATGGAGAGGGAGGGAATGTTTGGATCTAGGGGACTGATCCTGCAGAGGTGCCGAGTGCCTCTACTCTCACAGTACTCAGGGTTCAACTCAGTCCTGCCAGGGCTGAGCAGAACACCATGCTGTCTTCCTGAGCGTAGTCTGAATTAGGGGCAATCAGAACTTTTCGGGAAGAGCTCAGCTCTTTGCCGGAACAGTGCTCTGTAGACAGGAGCTCTGGCATTTTACTGAAGATGCCATTTTGTGAGATGCTGGAGTGGGAGTTGAAGTTGCCCTCAGTAAGGTTTGGTCCTGAGGGTCTGAACTTGCTCTTGGTGAAGAAAAGGCCAGTTTTGCTGTTGGGACCAGTTCACTTCTGTGTGATTTGGATTGGGCTCCTCGAACCATTATGTGGTTCCTTCTGTAGGAGCTAAGCCCTGCAAGGCACCCTTTAAAGGGCCAGATTAAGTTTAGTAAAGGAGAGACCAAAACTGGAACAGAGGAGCAAACTCCTGTAGAAGGGAAAGTGTGTTTACTAGGGGGGGATAATGATACTAATCTTTAGCACTTGACATCTTCAAAGAGCTGTGTAAACAGCAATTCAGTGGTACGAGGGAAGTAGACTAGCCCCCTTTTATTTTTCCTTTGGACATCCAGCCCATTTGTGGAGCTGAAGTGGAGATGGAAAAATAGCCTCTTGTATTGCAACTTGCAAAACATCAGGGGCATTTGGGAATGGAATAGGAAGCTCATCTTGCAAGAAGAGCGACATCTGTGGTGTGGACGCTGCACATCTGTAGGAGGGCTGTTTTTTTGTTGGGGGATGGAGGGAGGGCATTCTGGGAAAATATTTCTGACATAATCCCAACAGTATCTGGTGTGTTGGGATTTGGTTACAAATGGCCCTTTAGTGTCTTAGTGCGTTTTGTTCTGCTGGCTTCCAGGGGCATGCAGAGACCCCTGCTTTGTGCTAACCTGGGAAATAAACCATCCCCTGGCTTCAATGGTTGAATTTAGTCATGTGGGGAGGGGGACAAGAGGGGATTTGTGCTAATTGCAGAGAAAACCTGCCTAAAAGTCTCCATGAGGTGCACTGGAGAGGCTGCCTCAGCCCCTAGGAGAAGAATGAAATGCCCATAGTTGAGAAATTCCATATTCCTAAGGGAGTCAGGGGCCAGTGTGGCCTGAAGCCTTAGTATCAATTATTAATGCAACCCCTGGGTGGGGTGTCAATGTGGGGAGTACACAATGAGGTGTTCAGAACCACTCAATATTTTACTCATGCCCCCACAGGCTAAATTAATTCTTCCTCCTAATTTATGTCCCCCAAAAGCCTTTCTGGTTTCTTTTTTTTCTGTGGTTTCAGCCCCCCTGCTCAAAGGCCACTGTTACTTCATGATGATGGTTTTTGTCACTTTGCTAAGCAAGAGGGGTCAAGCAGCTCAGGGAAAGCTGTGAATGAAGCAAGACAGCAGCAGTGGGATGGACAGAAAGGTGCAGAGAACAGGCTAATTGACCTGCCTTATTACTTCCTTGCATCAGGAGAGGTCTGGGTGAGAAAGAGCCCAAAGGAAGAAATCCAGATTCTTAAGTGTGTTTTGTAGGTTTATAGGTCTGCTTGGGATCAAGGTGGGTAAAGCCTGTAGCATGTCTCTATGTGATCAGAAGTCCAGAGGACACTAAAAACTTGGAGACTTTGGTTCTTTTACTAACTCCACCATTAATTTGCTGTGACTCAGTTTCCCCAAGTGTAATGCTTCAGAATCTGAGAATGTGCCCTCATGCAAGCTCTGCTGTCCTTTCTGTCCCTTTTGCAAACATAGGAGCAATTAGTCACATATGGTGGAAAGTGCAGGCGCACTCACATGCACACATGCATGCACACCTAACAAGGAATAATGGACACAAATTATTGGAGAGTAGGTTTAGATTAGACATCTGCAAGAACTACTTCACAGTTAGGGCGGCTAGGAGCTGGAACCAACTTCCAAGGGAAGTGGTGCTGGCTCCTACCCTAGGGGTCTTTAAGAAAAGGCTTGATGCCTACCTGGCTGGA